TAGTTGTCTTTCATTGCTAGGTTAGTTACATATCTCTGCTAGGTTAGTTCTCTTTTTTTGCTAGTTTAGTTGTCTTATACTGCTAGGTTAGTTATTTGTAGCTACTAGGATAGTTGTCTTCTATTGCTAGGTTAGTTTTATCATGTTGCAACGTTAGTTGTATATCTCTGCATGGTTAGTTATATACTGTTGCAATGATAGTTGTATATCTCTGCAATGTTAGTTGTATATATCTGCAATGTTAGTTGTATATCTGCAAGGTTAGTTTTAATATGTTGCAATGTTAGTTTTATCATGTTGCATTAGTTGTATGTTGTTGCTAGGCTAGCTGTCTGTTGGTGCTAGGTTAGTAGTCTGTTGTTGTTAGGTTAGTTTTATGAAGTTGAAATGATAATTGTATGTTATCTTCTATTGCTAGGTTAGTTATCTTCTATTGCTAGGTTAGGTATATATCTCTGCAAGGTTAGTTTTCTGATTCTGCAATGTTTGTTGTAAGTTTACTTATATCTATTTGACATTTTTTTTTGTAACTCAGTTTAATTTGAAGAAATCGATATGGAGCCTGGTGATAAGATTTGTTTGCTGACTGATACATCTCGCAATCCATCTCGTAAATGGCAGTCTTATGATAAACTTTGTCTCTTAAAGCTCACAACACGGTCTTATCCAAAAGCTTTGGTTGATTCCATTGCTAAATTAAATGATGATCAGAAGAGAGCCGTGGAGAAGATGGGGTTTGGATACTTGCTGCATCTGAAGATTAAGGAGATTCCAAGCAATTTATCTTTCTGGCTGGTGGATAATTTTGACCCGGTTAGCTCTGTGTTGCATCTTTCTGATGGCAACATCCACATTGAAACTGTTGATGTGGAGAAGGTATTAGGCTTCCCAAGAGGTGAGAAGCCTATTGAATTGAAGACAAAATCTGAGAGTGTTGAACTGTTGGATAAGTGGAGGAGTCAATTTCTAATATCTTCTGAGAAAATCACTCCTGAAAAAGTGAGCAAAAAAATGTTGAAGTGTAATTTTGCTGATGGTGGTGAAATGTTCTGCTGTAACTTTGTTGCTTTGGTGGATGCTCTTATAATCGGCACTATCAACTCTGCTGGTTATGTCAACCCTCTTTTCTTGAAGTCGGTTACTGACATAACATGTGTCTCAGATTTGATTTGGGCTGACTATACTCTTCAGAGTTTGATTGCAAAAACACTGAAACGTGATGACGGCAGGAAGATTAGTTTCAATGGGCCTCTTCTTTTCCTTGTTGTAAGAATGTGTTTTTATATTATTCTTGAACAATTTATATTCCATGTTATATATATATATTTCATAATGTAGGTTTTATACGTTGATCGGCTAGTGTTTATATCGCGTGATGTTCCAAGGAGTTTGCCCTCCTTTATTGGTTGGAACTGCGAGTTGTTGCGCAAGAGATCCATTGCTGAGGCGAAAAAAGGTGGTTTTGGCCGAGGTTTTGTCGATGATCACATGGAACTCTTGGCATTACAACAACAACAACCATTATTAGAGACATTAAAATTGAAACAAAAGAAATTTTCTGATGCTGATTTTGTTCAGGTTGGTATTTAGCTTATTGCTGATTTAGTTGTCTGATGCTGCTAGGTTACTTCTTTATTTTAGTTAAATGTCTCTACAAGGTTAGTTTTATCATGTTGCAATTTTAGTTGTATGTTGTTGCTAGGTTAGTTGTATGCTAGTGCTAGGTTTTTTTTTTTTTTTAAACAAACAACACCCCTGAAGGGCGGGGGATTAGGCTAGATCCCCAACCTGTGAATAGATCAGGGCCCCAAAATCGGGGCCCAGAATGTCAACGATCAAAATAAAATAGTCTACAACGTCTCACAAGTCGCAACCAAAAAAACGAGAAATAACCGAAAAAACAGAAAAAGAAAGAAAACAGAAACTACAATACAAGGTCGATCTTCGGGCTAACAGATGCCCGAGATAAATGACTAGTCTAATGACAGCAAAAATCCTATAACTAGTGAAAGCGGAATGTAGGATATCCGAGCTGGTCCATCCGTACTAGAGTGCGAAGGCGGAGTGGAGCAGTGTCGGTCTGGAATATGTGTGTATCTGATATGGTGGCGCCAAGGCTGGCA